TTACCATTGCTAACTCATTTCAATTGTTCACAGTGATCAATAGCTGGCATTTCTTTCCTGTCAACAAAAAAATATGCCATGCCTACATATTTATGCCTATATCATAATGTAATCGCAGCCATGCCAGCAGCTTTGTGAGGCTGCACTTCCAATTCTTCCCTTTGGTCCCTTTGCCTAGTTTTTGAGGGTCCTCGACTAAGTAGTGGCCCTTCAGAATGGAGCTGCAAGGGGTAGGGTTTGAAATCTTAACCTTGGGAATGGAACGCCACTCGTTACATCATCATCTGTTGCTTGCTATCATTATGAAGGATTATAGTGACAAATCTGACAAAATTTGCAGGACCAGACAGATTAATCTATTGAAAAAAAACAAGAAGCAAGGTAAACAGTTGATGTAACATTAGTTATTTAAAAGTAATGAATAAACTGTTGTAATAGCTAAAAGTAACTGAGAAATGGTTAAAATAGCGTTAGTTAGCTAAAAGTAATGAATTACTGTTGAAACAGTTAAAAGTGATAAACAATTGAAATACCATTAGTTAGCCTGAAGTAATGGATAAAGGTTGAAACAATAAGATAAAAGTAACTTAGCTGTTGAAATAGTATTAGTTAGCTAAAAGTAATGAATAACATTGGATTAGTTAGCTGAAAGTAACAGTTCAACAGTTGAAACATCTGACAAGGCAGTTTTTGCAATTTTTCTAAAATGCTTGTTAATTAAATTACATATTCATTTGCATCTGTCAAACTAAAATATCTCAGTGGATTTTAACATTTTTTCCATGGTATGCGACCTACTGAATATGCACAATAGTGTCTTGCCCGCTGGCTCCGCCCAGGATTTACAGCTCGGCTCATAGATTATACATTGTGGTGACATCACTGTTTTTCTTGGCTCAAGGATTAATCCTCCATAGATCAGAGAAAATCATAATAGAAAGAGTCATACTTAACCTTGTTTGCAGTTGGAGTCCTATCAAAAGTTTTACAGCCATCTCTTTTCTAGTGATGGTCTATGGGGAACATGCTTTTTGGGCTGCAAGATTTTTTTTTTCATGCAGTACCCAGGGTGGTAACTAGGAAAAATTGGCTGCAAGACTGAGCTGCTTTCCTGGGGGCCTGGGGAGAATTGAGATTGAGCTATACGCTAACCTCAGCATGCTCACATGCTGATGCTAAGCAGTTTTAATGTTACCATGTTCATCATCTTAGTTTAGTGGCTTAGTAGGCAAACATTAGATAAAAAGAGTAATTATACCAATTACCAAATATTTATTGATTATTATTACATTTCTGTACCAGATTTTGTGGCAGTTTATCTAGAGTTGTTGAAATACACTGAACAAAAATATAAATGCAACACTTTTGTTTTTGCTCCCATTTTTCATGAGCTGAACTCAAAGATCTAAAACATTTTCTATATACACAAAAGACCATTTCTCACAAATATTGTTCACAAATCTGTCTAAATCTGTGTTAGTGAGCACTTCTCCTTTGCCGAGATAATCCATCCCACCTCACAAGTGTGGCATATCAAGATGCTGATTAGACAGCATGAATATTGCACAGGTGTGCCTTAGGCTGGCCACAATAAAAGGCCACTCTGAAATGTTCAGTTTTGCTTTATTGGGGGAGTCTGGGGGGGGTCAGAAAACCAGTCAGTATCTGGTGTGACCACCATTTGCCTCATGCAGTGCAACACATCTCCTTCGCATAGAGTTGATCAGGTTGTTGATTGTGGCCTGTGGAATGTTGGTCCACTCCCCTTCACTGGCTGTGCGAAGTTGCTGGATATTGGCAGGAACTGGAACACGCTGTCGTATATGCCGATCCAGAGCATCCCAAACATGCTCAATGGGTGACATGTCCAGTGAGTATGCTGGCCATGCAAGAACTGGGATGTTTTCAGCTTCCAGGAATTGTGTTCAGATCCTTGCAACATGGGGCCGTGCATTATCATGCTGCAACATGAGGTGATGGTCGTGGATGAATGGCACAACAATGGGCCTCAGGATCTCATCACGGTATCTCTGTGCATTCAAAATGCCATCAATAAAATGCACCTGTGTTCGCTGTCCATAACATACGCCTGCCCATACCATAACCCCCTCGCCACCATGGGCCACTCGATCCACAACGTTGACATCAGCAAACCGCTTACCCACACGATGCCACACATGCTGTCTGCCATCTCCCCTGAACGGTGAAAACCAGGATTCATCTGTGAAGAGAACACCTCTCCAACGTGCCAGACACCATCGAATGTGAGCATTTGCCCACTCAAGTCGGTTACGACGATGAACTGCAGTCAGGTCGAGACCCCGATGAGGATGACGAGCATGCAGATGAGCTTTCCTGAGACGGTTTCTGACAGTTTGTGCAGAAATTCTTTGGTTATGCAAACCGATTGTTGCAGCAGCTGTCTGGGTGGCTGGTCTCAGACGATCTTGGAGGTGAACATGCTGGATGTGAAGGTCCTGGGCTGGTGTGGTTACACGTGGTCTGCAGTTGTGAGGCCGGTTGGATGTACTGCCAAATTGTCTGAAACACCTTTGGAGACGGCTTATGGTAGAGAAATGAACATTCAGTTCATGGGCAACAGCTCTGGTGGACATTCCTGCAGTCAGCATGCCAATTTCACGCTCCCTCAAAACTTGCAACATCTGTGGCATCGTGCTGTGTGATAAAACTGAACATTTTAGAGTGGCCTTTTATTGTGGCCAGCCTAAGGCACACCTGTGCAATATTCATGCTGTCTAATTAGCATCTTGATATGCCACACCTGTGAGGTGGGATGGATTATCTCGGCAAAGGAGAAGTGCTCACTAACACAGATTTAGACAGATTTGTGAACAATATTTGAGGGAAATGGTCTTTTGCGTGTATAAAAAATGTTTTAGATCTTTGAGTTCAGCTCATGAAAAATGGGAGCAAAAACAAAAGTGTTGCGTTTATATTTTTGTTCAGTGTATATCAGTGTGGTCCAAAGTGGGTGGGCTGACATTGCCATCTCTTGTAGTGATGTGCTTGTGTTTTGTCCACACTAGCACAATTGAGTTGTTTAACAATATTGCTGAACATAAAGATTGTCATAAATTCTGACTCAGTCAACAGGGAATCCAAAGAATGTGTATATAGGAATACAAATGAAAGCAGATACTGTATTTGGATGTTGAATGCTGCAGTAATGACAACAGGGTTCACAGCAGACAGCAGGTTTTCAGCAATGCTCGCTGCATCTTGCCTTTTTGTTGTTGTTGTTGTTGTTGTTGTTGTTGTCGTTGTCGTTGTTTTGCAACATCAATCAGAAATACATGCTAATGTTCCAGCTGCAGTCAGCTGTCAAAGCAAAATCAGAACAGAGAACATGCATAAACATTTTTTTTAAATTACATATACATTTTAAATGCATACAAGATGCCACATCAATATTTTTCACAGGCCGCATTCTAGAATTTGCAGTCCAATTTTTGTTTTGTGTCATGTATACATCTTTAATTTTAAAATACTTTTATTGTTTTTTCCAATACATATATGTTACACACCTTTTCATCCTGATATCCCTCTGATCAGACATCCCTTATTTTCAGTTATGATACTGTATATGCTTTACAGCACACTGCATCCAGAAAAAAACTAAGTGAAGGCAATATGTCATTATTATCGTCCACATTTCATGATTATAAAAATAAAGCTTTTATAATTATGAGATCCATATCTCATCAACCAACAATTACCAACTTTCATCCAGGAGGCTGGTGCTCACTTCCTGTAAGATTGTAAAGCCAAACCCTGTTCTTTTTTCCTACACCCAACCACATGCATGCGTTGGCTAAACAAAACTATGTGCGTTTGTTGTTGAAGGACAAAAACATCAATGTGCGGTGTTATACCAATGTAGTGTGTTTATCTTAAAAGAGACTGGATGAAAACTGTACATTTCCTGTGAAAACAGAAATGTATTTTAAAAACACAATGTATGTGACAGTAGACCAGAACGTCAACAACCAATGCACCCAGGGTATCATGCACATCATATCTCGACATGGAAAATCCATGACCAAACATCGATATGTGACAAGGTCGGAGTGAGAATGTATTGAATGACGGGAAACTTATCTCATAGTTACGCCATTACATAGTTATTAAGTCATTATTACAGGATAACTATCTTATTGTTATGAGTTATAGATTATGGTATATAGAGGATATGGATTGTATCATGCCAAAATTCTCATCATGCATAATTATGGCATAATATGCGTAATAATAATATTATTGCTTAATTTTGACAGAATAAGGAGATCTTTTTCATAGGTAAGAGATCTCACAATCATGAAGACAATCTAGTAATATGAGATACAAATCTTATAATTACAGAAAACTTTGTCCAGTCTTTATGCAAAAGAAAACATCATTCTTGATTATATTTTGTATTATTAATCTGAATCTGCAAAGTAACTAAAGGTATCAAATGAATGCAATGGAGTACAAAGTGCAATATTTCTTTCTGAGATGTAGGGGAGTATAGTAGCAGAACATGAGTAGTACAGTACAGTACATGAATAGATGTACTTACTGTAGTTAAGTACTAGAAAGTTACTTCCCATCCCTGTTTATGAGGTAATATAATGTATATACATAATGATATACTTATGTAATATAGGGATATCATTACTGCAATGGACCTTATTATGAGATAATTACGATCTACAATGCAATGCAGTGCAATGCAAATGCAATTTGCTTCTTTATATTTTCATATGCTACATAGTTTACATTCATTTTCTTGCCTAGCTGCTGTGTAGCACAGCCTAATTGCTACAGATATATTTCTGCTGTAATGACTCTGTTTGCCCAGAGGGATCAATAAAGTTACACCTTGCCATGTATGATCTAATTGTTGCTGTTGTTACCTGACAAGCTTTATATGCACAAACACACTTATTCAGTGGGCTTTGATGTAACATTGTGTCATGTTCGTCTCTGCCTCCCTGCAGGTTCACGTGGGCACCTCCCATCAGGAACAAAGGGTTGTCGGATATATCACGTGTACCCACCTCCACGCCATAGAAGGTACCATTACATGATCCTCTTTCTCTCTCTGTCTTTTCCTGTCTCCCAAACACACACATACACAAGTAAATGCACACATGAATATTCTGATATGATTTCAATGACATTGCTTTTCATTTTCCATGGCTGCTTTATACTAAGAGCGGAGAACATCTCAGCTCTGTGTATGAATGTGTGTGTGAGTGTGTCTCACTTCAACAGCCAGATAGTACAACCACCTAGCTACACACACACACAGCCCTGTGTGTGTGTGTGTTTGTATGTCCAGATAGCTGGATAAATGGGCGCATGAAAACCTCTGTGTGCCTCCTCCTGCTGTTCCCATGGCGACTAGCTCAAGCTGTTTACGGCGTCACAGCCCTATTTATAGCATCTGGTCAATGCCTCCCTCATTTTTTTGTCAAAGACACGTCTCCTCCCCTTTGCCTGCTATTCTGGGCTCTTCCTACGCTTCTCTAAGGCCTAAATATAGCAGTGCCAGGGCTGTTTCTAAAGATACATCAAACATAAAACTTTTTGGGGGGAGGGGAGTGGGATGAGGGGGTAAAACAGGGAGAAAAAATGGGGAGGAGCACAGAGACCTGATTCTTTTCTGAGAGGAAGGAGTTGTTCATTTGTAATCTTTACTGCTTAAAGGGAAGATGCATGATGCAGTCTTGATGTCGTATGCTGTAAAGCCCTCTGAAACAAATTGTGATTTGTGATATTGGGGTTTATAAATAAAATTGATTGATTGATTGATTGGTTCAATACACAGAACAAATATAGAAGTTAAAACTACACTGACTGTCAGTGGTAAACAACAAGATTGGATTTGCAAGTCCAGTGTGTGACATGTTTCTGTATTGTTGTGTGCTGTTTTTGACTGAGTGTGTGCTGCCAGTAGCCTTGGCAGTACTAGCAACCACGGTACTAAGGGTTTTATCAAAGTGTTTTCTTTTAAATAGAATTTATTTCAGTCTGTCAATAATTGCACATTAACTTAAAAATATCATGGCCTGTCTGCGGGTTCTCATAAGGCTTTACACACATTTTTCATAAGGATAATGTAAACAACTGCTGTATTCGCTGTGTTTAAGTGGTTTACTCATACAACATATTGTTCAAAAGCTATGCTCCTTGTGGTTCGATTGATGCCGACCATTTCAAGATACAACAACCACAGGAGGTTCAGCAAACACTTCTGTCAGACAAATAACAAATAAACAAGCAGCAGTTTATTGTTGCAGTTTTTGTGTGGCTACATTTCTGGCTCTGGCACAGTAAAAGACGTGCCCATTCTTACTTAGGGGCCAGGAAGGCAGTCCTGCCAGGACCCTCTTGTTTTCCTGCTCCTTCTTCTTCTTCTTCTTCTTCTTCTTCTTCTTCTTCTTCTTCTTCTTCTTCTCCCGAGGAAATCCTACTTTCCATGTGCGAAAAATAACCAAACTTTGCACAAAGGTCCAGTCCTATGCCAGATTTGCTCAGCTGCAAATACAAGTCAATAGTCCTGATGCGATTTAATGGAGGCCATGCTGTTTGAGCAACTTAAACATGTTACTCATTAATACCAGTGTTTCCTTGACATTCATTTATTTGAGATGGCCTGCCACGATTAAAACATCTGCTACCGCGTTATGATTTTCTGTTTTTGGAGCTGGACCATTCATTAGCACTGTTGGGATACCATTTGGTTATTTATTGCCCCACACTCTTGGAGCACAGGGCATAGTCTGGGCACGGACAGAGCAGCGGAACATCAGGCAAAGTGAAAGTGAAACTGAACAATTTATTGTGGTCGGTCTAAAAGTTTGCCTCTGCAGCACCTGCTTCTCTTTTCCATTGATCTGATCAGCTCTGATTGGGACAGTCCCCCTGTGACTCAAATCTCCACAAACTGCTGCTGAGATGAAAAAGAACTTATGAAGAGTTACGCCTGTGCTGCGTTCAGTGACCCGCAAAAACCTCCAAATTTAAAGAGGGAACTCGGACTGATACACAAGATTGATCAGAGGTGATACCAGCAATAAAATGATGTTTGTATAAACAGAACAACTGGCAGGGCGGCATCATGGGCAGCACAGGGCCCTATTTCAGAAAGCAAAATTAGTGAAAACTCTGAGTATGTTGAGCCTGAGATGAGGGAAACTCTGAGTTTTCCATTTCACAAAGCCAGTTTAGCGTAACCCTGAGTCAGTTACTATGGCAACTTACTCCACAGGTTTGCTTCATCTAAGCCCGAGGCTAATCGCTCACTGAGCGTGTGGCAGGAAGGAGAAACATGGCGTATCCTTTTCTGATTGAAGTCGTGGACGTTGAGGCACAGTTTATTCAGAGGCTGTTGCATAAGGAGAAGGTGTTTAGCCCCAGTTTGAATTTCTCCCCAAAAGAGTGTCTTTATAAAAGATACAATTTCACCTCACACTCTATCATTTATCTAACAATCTGTTCCACTGTTATATCAAATATTACACATCGTGGATTTACATTATCATCAGAGCAAATTTTATGCATTGCCCTTTGATTCTTCTGCAGTGACAGTTTTCTTTATAACATCAGAGACAATGAACACATCAGCAAAACAGCGGTTTGTCAGGTAGTAACAAAAGTGACTCTGGCTCTGAAAGGACCTTTGCTTTATGCAACATGTAACAAGTTTTCTGGTGCTGAGAGTAGTTGATCCACAGGTAGCATCCTCCAAAGTCCCATAAAAGAAGGCAGCATTGCTCATCTGCATTTGGAGAAGCTAGTGGAACAAGACTGTTAGTCCATAATTCATCTGTATAGTGACTAAATAACTAATCATGCTTATTACTTTGGCACTCGAGGATTTTTTGTTGAGTTAAAAAGTAAAAAATATTGTGTTATTTAGCTCTAAATAAACATCATCCAAGGCAAGTTTTCCTCACTCAGAAGTTTTGACACACACAAAGCCAAGCTGAAACACACACACACACACACAGACAAATGTACAGCAAACACACCCCCACAACCACCAGCTTCATCTAAATGATTCAGTAACACAAAGAAAAAAAAACCATTACATTTCATATTTGAGTTGGAGCTGAGAGTAATCAAAGCCAAAGCCACCTACTCACCCACCAGTATCTTGACACCTCTTTGTTTCTCACACTTTACACTATGTGGCTGTTATTTCTCTCTCACGCGCTCCTGCCTGCCGCCTCCTTCTAATCACCTCCCCCTTCTCTCTCTACGTCCAATTTATCAGATGTACTGGCAGGGCTGGACAGAGGAAAACACTGCCAAAGCGAAATAGCACCACAAGTGACTTGATATAATGCCACTGACAAGATGCCTTTAGTAACATAATAGATACAGTTCATAGCTCAGTAAATAATTGACATGAGGAAATTCAATTCAGTTCAATTCAATTTTATATATAAAGCCCAATATCACAAACCTCAGGAAGAGCAACAGAGGAGGGATCCCTCTTCCAGGACGGACAGACCTAATAGATGTCGTACAGAACAGATCAACATAATAAATTTACAGTAATCTGTATGACAAAAACAGATGCTGAAACAGATGCTGACGTAGTAAGATGGCGGGCTGGTTTGAGCCTGGAGCAGAGCGTTGCTAACATTTACTTAGACAAAAAGTTCTTAGTAATTCCTCTGAAAAGCTTGACTAAGGGTGATAAGAGACTAAGCAGCACGGGGAGCAAGCGAGTCCTTTGGTGTAATTGTAACTGCCTCGTATTTGAATAAAACACACATTTGTAGCCTACGAGGAAGCGGTGGAGGGATGGCGTCTGCGCCGCGCGGTGGCAAAACAACTCGCTCTAACCCAGGAAGCAACCCGAACCCCAGAGAACCCAACAAGGTATCGACTCCTCCCGGGGGGTGTTGACTTGTGCCACTGACGTCGACACATCGACAAATCAACTTTTCTGTTAAAGCCCTACTGAACACTATTACAAACAGAAGTGGCTATGAGGTTTTCCAGGTCAGTTGTAAAAGACTAAGGACAAGGCTTTCAAAGGAATTATAATCTAGTTTAGGTTTAGGGCTGATTAATAAACTAGAGCTGAAAATGGCTGCAACACCCCCTCCTCGGCCGCTGCCTCAAGGAATGTGGGTATTATTATGACTGCCAATTATTTACGAAGCTCACATTACTTGCTGGACACCACCTGGACAGCCAGCGATTGAATGATGACATGCGGCTAAACATCTCATCAGTGGTCAGATTTTGGAGGGGTCCAGAGAAAACTAGGGGGTTTTATTAGTTCTATTCCTATAAGTAATTCACTCTTTCTCACTGTAATGCATAGTAAACCTACATTACTTTTTTTTTGTCGTTTGCACTGTAAACCCCAGTCCATCCATGACACAAAACTTTAATGTGAAGTCTACACAGATGACACTCATTCCTTGTGAGCCTGACATCATTTTTTTATGTTAGGGCAACAATTGACTTGCCGACTTGAGTTTTTAGTTAATTTGACAAAAATTTATAAAGCCAGTTTCACATAATTAGTTTAAGGCCAATGAACAACATCATCATAGTGCACTTAACATATTGTGGCATGTTGGGGCTAAATGGGTGGAGTTTCCCAGCATGCCATCAGACTATGGGCTCTGGTTTCGCAGACCGGGCGAGGCGGGGGCGCAGCGCACCTGCGCTTCGCCAACTGCGTCCCTCCTACCTGCGCAAGTCGGAAAGAGGGAGGAGAGAAGGCGTGGAGTGGGTTTTACACAGCCGATTCACATCACACCAATCAAATGAGCCCCTCTCCTCACCCTTAAATGCGCCGCGCGAAGGCGTAATGAGAGTTTACTCAATTCGCCATGGCAGAAGAGAGCAGCAGCGTCAGACGGCCAAACTTCTCCCAGGAGGAAACTGATGTTTTGGTCCGGGAGGTCCAAGCTCGCAGTGTCTGAATATATGGAACTGTGAGCAGACCTCCACGGGTTGATGATGCAAAGAGGAGGTCACCACAATTGTAAATCAATGTTGCGTTTCTCTCGTGCGCGCATACGCTCTCTCTTTCTCTGTCG